AAAAAAAAAAAAAAAAAAAAAGAAAGAAAAGAAAAGAAAAAGGGCATCTAGAGTGAGCGACATAAATAGTAAAACGCTCCTCATTCTAATGTTAGGGAAAGGCTGAGGCGATGGAACAGCTGTCCCCCTACTCTCTAACCGTAAAATACACCTGCCAGGTCAGAAACCCCCTTCCTGTCAACTCTCTGTCTTCTCCAGCACCAGCACCTGAGGAGGAAGAGTAGGAGAGTCTCAGGATTCTGCCAGGTGGGGAGTTTCAAGAGAAAGAAAGCCTATATCCGTGAGTCCTGAAAAGTAAGGCTGGCTTCATTAAGAAAAGAGGAAACAGCAGCTTACCTGAGACATGGCTCACAGAAGGGACCGCAGAGGGCAGGAAAGTGCAAAACGGCAGACCTGACGGGGAGACAGGAGTCCTGAGTGAACAGGGGCCCGAGTCCTCTCCAGCTGGGGGATCCTGTAGTCGCCACCAACACAGGGAACCTGGAGAGCCCAGGGCGCCCAGAACTTGGGTCAGGGGACCGTAACCCCGACCTGCATCCCCAGCACCATCTCACTTAACTGTGGCTACCGGACGGCATGTTCCATCGGTGCTATTTGCCAAGTGTTTGCCGGCTCCGCCCGGGATCACCGCCCCTCGCCGCCCGACCGCGCTCCCAGTTACACGAGGCGGCGCCTTTCACCTGCCTCCCGCCCGACGCACCTGGACCCCTGGCTCCACCCCCAGGACCGTGCTGTGCACCTGCCAGCCCCTTAGGGACCCACCAGAACCGAGCTACACTTCCCAGAGGTGACCGCGGCCTCCGTGAGGGAGACACTCCCCGAGTGCCCTGCGGCCACCAGCAGCTCCAGGAGAAGGGGAGTGTGACCGCGAACCACACTTCCCAGAACCGACGCGGCCCCGGTGCGCGGCAGGGGCGAGGGAGCAGGTTCCCGCCCTCCTGTGACTCCTGGAGCAACGCCGAAGCCGTCTGCAGGCAATGAGGCTTCCCAAAGCCGACCTCGGCGTGCGCCCCAGCCTAAAGCTGCCACTATCCAACTACACTTCCCAGGACCGACTGGGGAGTCAGCGCTTGCATCTAAAACCTCAGAATCTCACAGCACATCGGGACAGTGGCCCCAATTGAATACATTTCCGTATGGCGTGGCCCAGACTCTGCTCCGCCAGGGACAGGGAAGGGCCTCTTCTATTGGCGAACAAGCGCCAGAGCAGTCCCGGATTTTCCATAAGCGCAAGTGTGGCCCACCACCCCAAACCCTGGAAAGGAGAGTCCAAAGGACGAGGAGCTCACTACCTCCCAGTGAGGTGCGGAGCCCTGTCCTGGGCACAGGGAGAAGGAAGTCTGGGACACAAAGCCACACACATCCCTATCCTCAAAGACCATGAATTTGTTTTGAAACACATTGAGAGTGATTGTATATGTGTTAAACCTTTACTACTAAGGTAACAGACTCCAAAAGCAAAAAAAAAAAAAAATTGATTTTTATAGTTCTCTTATGTTTTAAGTTCCCAGGCTAGTTAAGTTTGCTGACAAAGAGTTTGTAACCCTCTGTTGCACTAATGCATTCCCTTTTGAGTTTCTTTCCCAGGAATGGCAGAACCTCCAGGCAGCTAGGACATAACTATAGAGCCTTACACCAACTGTTTGTCCAGGAAGGACAAGTGGTACCCAACACCAGATGGTGCCAAGGACCCACTGAGCCTGCACATAAGGCTTTAAAAAATGACCAGTATTAACCTCTACCCCATTATAATACTAAAATCCCTGCCCTGGGAGGGATTTATCCACCATTTTTTCTTCATAGGACATATGTACTAGCATGATTCCTCACTGTGTTTGCATGCTCTGGACTCCAACCCAAACACGCAATAATGTTCACTCCCCTTGTGCTTTATTCCTTTTCACCTCCATAAAATCCCCTTGACCCTGTTGTTCTGGGAGTTGGATCTGAGGCAGTCTGTGCCCCTCCTGGCAGATGTTTCTCTCCTGTGAGAAATCTTTTCTTCCTTTTTGATCTAGTTGTCTCAGTAATTGTCTTTCTGTGCAGGAGCAAAATGGGCCCCCTGCCCGCTGGGGGTTCATTAACACTAATATTGTCCAAATTATGATTTCTAACCTGAGATCTTGCCATGACTACACTATGTCCATGTCCCCACATCTTTTCTTTACATAGAAGTCAGCCTGATTTGTATAAAGCAATTCCAGTCATATTCCTCTGCTTTACATAGTTTCATGGCTTTTAATTGAGCTTAAGTAAAAGCACAAGTCCTTAACATAGTCCACTACATATTCTTACCCTTGTCTTTTCAAGCTTTTCTTACATGACTTTCCTCCTTTCTGGTTGTGCTAATCCTGTTTCCCCAAATATCACACATCTGAGGACCTGAGCATGTGAATTTGTTCTGCCTGGAATGGAATAATACTGCAATAACATGAATAAATCTCATGGAGATTATGTTAAGCAAAAGAAGCCAAGCATAAGTGAATACATACAGAATATTGTTTAAGGAGTTCTAGAATAAGCAAAACTAATTCCTGGTGACAGAATTCAGAATAAGGGTCACTTAATGGGATTATTATTATTATTGTTATTTTGAGACAGAGTCTCACTATGTCACCCTTGGTTGAGTGCCATGGTGTCACAACTCACAACAACCTCAAACTCTTGGGCTTAAGCGATTCTCTTGCCTCAGCCTCCCGAGTTGTTGGAACTACAGGCACCCACCACAACTCCTGGCTATTTTTTGTTGTTGTTGTTATAGTTGTAATAGTGGTTTAGCTGGCTCCGGCAAGATTCAAAACCACCACCTTTGGTGTATGTGGCTGGCTCCAAGCCATTATGGGATGTTATTAACTTGAAAATGGCACAGGGACCCTTCTGGGGTGATGCTAATACATTATATCTTCATCTGGGTGGTAATTGCACAGGTGTGTACATAGGGAAAGATTTATCAAACTGTGCACTCAAGATTTATGTGCTTTATTGTATATAAGTTGTTTCTCAAAAATTATCTGAAACAAACATAATAAAAAGTTAACATGCGGGTGGAGTGTTATTTCCCATTTTATATATTTTCCTGTATATTAAAATGTTTGTAATTAGGAAAGAGATAGGACACTAGTCCTCTATAATCACAGTGACACCCATAACAGAGGAATCGACACTTGGAGTTGGGGCCCCTTGCAGTATTTGAGTAGGTCCCCTTACAATGTGGTGGAGTTGACACCAGCCAACCTCTCCTGCATGGAGACAAGGTCTCCGCATTGTCACCTTCACAGTAAATTATCACAATGCCAACAAGTGGGATCAGTTGACTGATACTTTTAGCTGAGAGAGACTTTGGGCCATCACGTAACAGCTCTGCTGATCACTACCCTGTATCCCAGCTCTGGCCAAGGAGGACTAACTGCATTTGGAAGGTAGCTGCTTGGTCTCAGCTCCTCTTAGCTCTGGGCATCACCAGTGGGTGCCACAGGCAGTCGAAGACAATAAGGGAGGGGAGGACAGGGGAAAAAGAATTTAAAGGGGGATACAAAGGCGGGGGATGCAGGTGCCTTGCCCTGTTGTTTCAAGGACCTGAGACATCCACTTTCTTATTCTCAAGAGTGGCCTCCTTCTAGCTGCTCAGTTCCCAGGGAGGGTGTGGTGAATATGAAAGCGGCTCTGAAACCAGACAGACCTGCCTTTCCACCGCTAAGTGACTGGTAAACCACTCAACCTATCTGTGCCTCAGTTTCCCACCTGCAAAACAGGAGTAACTGGAGTTAGGGGTGGAAAGGGGGGTTGGAAATAGTGCGAAGCTGGTCCTGCCACCTCCGAGGACCTGGACAACCGGGGTAAGATGACTGCTTTCTTCTGAGGTCAGTCTGTGGGTCAGAGACCCCAGACGGCTGTTCAACAGAGCTTTCTGCGAGGAAGGCTATCAAACCCTTGGAATGTGTCTCAAATGACTACAGGACTTAATGTTTGACTTTATTTTAATTGCCTTACATTTAAATAGCCCCCCGTGGCCACTGGCTATCGCATAAGTCAGCGCATTTTGGGGGACTTCGCCCAGACGGCACTCACTCCCCAGGCCTTGGTCCGCCGCCGGGCCGCTGTGCAGGCTGGAGGTTAATGTGGTCTCTGCACGGCGCTGGGTTCGCGCCTCACCTAAGCAGTCATTTCTTCCTCTAAAAAGCAGCTCCTGTATAAAGTCGGGGCTGGCGGGAACGCCCAGGACCGTAGTTTAGGCCCCCGCCCTCCGGGATGGAAACAAATAAGGACTTTATCTACTCCTTTCCCTCTCGCCCACACCCTCTCCACTCCGCCCGCCCACGGTCTTGTAAGTCCCCTCCGAGAAACTGGGTGGGGACCTTCCCCATCCCCGGTACCCGGCGGGGCTCCCCACGCTGTGCATTTCTCAGATGAGGAAACCGGCTCGCGGAGGTTCAGGCTGCAAGTCGCGGGGCGTGAGCCGAAGAGTAAACTTTGCACGTCTGGTGACGCCAGAGACGCTTCCGTGGGTCGAGTTGTCAGGGCGAGCGGGAAGAGCAGCGGGTAAATATTTGGGGGTGTAACCTGGGCTTCGGCGACTCCTCGTCACTGCGGTTAGCCGGCAGGCGCGTGGCGAAGGCGGGGCCTCGGGGACAGGGGCGTCCTCGGAGGACGGCGGGGACAATCTCCGGGGCCTGGGCCCCCGCGGCTCCGCCCCGGCCCCGCCCCCGGCCCCGCCCCCGTCTCCGCCCCCGCCTCCTCCCGGGGCTATAAGACCGCCGGGTGGCGGTGGCCCGCGCTGGTTGTAGAGCGGGCGTGTGGGCCCGGCGGAGAGCCGCAGGCGAAGGCACAGCAGGCGGAGGGGAGAGCGGGCGGGAGCAGCGGGAAAGGAGCCCAGAACTCCGGAGCCGAGCGCGAGCGCACCTGCGTCCGCGGCCGCACCTTGCCGGACCGTACGGCACGCGCCGGGCAGACCCCCGCCACCTCATGAAGCCGCCCGCCGCGCAGGGCAGCCCCGCGGCCGCCGCGGCCGCAGGTGAGTGCGGGGTCCCCGAGTCCCCGAAACCCCCGCCGCTAAAGGTGGGGGGTGAGAGAAGCGGGGTCTCGGCGACGGCACCCTGGCCCTATCTCTAGGCGCTAGGGGGTTCAGCCTCCCGCCACCTCTGTGCTGGGTGACACGTAACGGGCACATCTTGACTCAGTCTTCCCGTCCCACCGGGTTCGCGCGCGCCGGGGGGCGGGGGACAGGCGTGGTACCTCTCAGCGCGTGGGAAAGAGTTTGGCTGTGTCGATGAGCTGGATGACCTTAGGCTCGGTGGAGCTCAGTTTCCTTATTAGTGAAATGGGTTCTATAATAGAACGCACTTCGGAGGGTGGGTGACAGGAGGATTAAAAGACAGCGGACAGCACTGGGTGGCTGTCACTCGGCAAACGTGCAGTGACCGTTGGCCATCAGGATGGTGGGCCGGGAGAGATGGCCACCCCCGATCCCGATCAGTTGAGCCCACGGCCCTTGTCCGCAGCCCCGGCCTTGGACGCAGCGGCCGCCGAGGACCTGTCTGACGCGCTGTGCGAGTTCGACGCGGTGCTCGCAGACTTCGCGTCGCCCTTCCACGAGCGCCACTTCCACTATGAGGAGCACCTGGAGCGCATGAAGCGGCGCAGCAGCGCCAGCGTCAGCGACAGCAGCGGCTTCAGCGACTCGGAGAGTAAGTGTGGCCCCCTGCTGGGAGGGTGCCAGGGCTCAGTTTGCTCATCTGTAATCTGAGGAATGGGCTCCAGAGAACCTAGCTCAAAAGCTCAACGCAGTGGGTCTCCTGCAGTTGTGTCATGAGGCGGCGGGATTAGCAGCTTGTGGCGACTCAGCTGGACGCAACTCTTTGAGCTCCATCCAGGCCTTTCCACTGTTTCCCCTCCTCTGGGCCTTTCCCCTCTCAGTGTAACTCTGCAGAGGATGTGGAACAAGTGCCGCTGGAAAGGCAGGGCAAAGTGGGCACATGGAAATATTTGTGAAACCAGGAAAGGTTTCATAAGCTGCTGTTCTTGAGATATTTGAAATTATTTCTCGCACTTTCTTCTGGCTCTGAGCTCTCAGACTTGTTAGCTGCATTCATGCAGTTTTGCAAGAATCTCGGGCACTGCTGAGTTCAAGTGTTTTCGAAAGCGTCCCTCTGTCTTCAGCCACGTCCACTACCCAGGCTGGAGAGGGAGCTAGAGGTGGGCTTGGGGCGCTTTTGGGGGATCTTTCTCCCAAGGGGGACTACCCCAGGGGCTCTTTGTTGTAAATAACTTTGTTAAAAAAAAGATGAGAGAGAGAGAGAGAGACCGCACTTTTTCTAGGAATTAAAATGTGTCCTGGAAGGATTATGAATACCTGTTTAGGTGTTAAACAGCCAATCTGGTGACTTTTTAATATTACAGGATTATCAGTTTTCAAAGTGAATTTTAAACTCTTCTTTCTGCGTTATTCAGTCTTTAGTCCCTAGATGGGTTACAAGCATGAATGTCACTCCCTCTGCTGCCCTCCACTCTGGAAGTAAAAGTAATGGCTTTCCCTTGTGATTCTCTTATTTTGCAATCTAGAGCTTTCCTTGTTCCTGGGCAAAGACTCAGTTCTAGACTTGGGCACTAGCTGTCCTCCTGGAAAGGGAGAAGGGCACTTGCCATCATGGTAAGGGTTTGAATCAGAAGCCCCAGTTTCAGCGTGAGTGTCCTTGGCAACATTGCCAGAGGGTTAGACCAAGCTACAGCTTTTGAGGTGAAAAGGGGATGGAAGAGTGAGTGCGCTGTTACTTTTCCATTTAGAAAATTTGGAGTTTGTTTCTACTGACCAGGCTGCTCATTTTCAATTTCAAAGGGAAGTCTTAATATTTTTGAAATTTGTCTCAAAACTGTGGCCACACTACACACACACACATCTTCTACTGGGACATGGAGCAAGTTATTCATCAAACAAATTCTCTGTCCCATGGAAAAGAAAGCTGGAACAATCTGTCACTGCTGCTGTGTGGCAGCTCCTTTCTAAGTCCCAGCCTCACTCAGCTAGAATACAGTCTGAACTCACCCATTCATGGCTGATGGCAACTTGGACTGGATGGGATTTCTGATCTGGGATCTGTTTTCAGGGGCCTCAAAGAGAAGGCACTAGAAACAGATTCTTAACAGTTTGAGGGGTAGATACTTGGCATAGAGTTTGTAGTTTTTCTTAGGGTATATGTGGGTATTTTGCTTTCTGCTTTTGTTAACTGTTAAACTGGCCCTTAGTTTGGTAGTTAGGGACGTAATGGGAAGGGAATAAAGAAGGCCGGATGACATTTATCTTTGCTTTAAATATGTAGTTCGTCCCCCACAAGACTGGTTAGAAATAGTCTTGGCAGGAATTGTGTGCATCTAAATAGTAATTTCTTAAGGAAGCATAATATGTGTATCTTAATTGCTGCCAAGAATTGAGCACAGACATTTGTTATACTCATTTGTCTACTGCTGTTCTGTGGAAGACAATGCTTGAGAGATGTAGATCCTACTGAAATTTAGCTCACCAAAAGGGAGACACACCAGGATAACGATAATAACAGCAGCTTACTTGTACCAAGCCCTTACTATGGTTACTGTTATTGTCTATTAGCTCTTACTGTGAGTGACCCCTTTGCTGTTCTTTGAATGTGTTATCTTAAGTGATCTCTGCCACAGTCCTAGAAGGAAGGCATTGTCATCTTCACTTTTTTCTGATAAAATAGCAAAACTGTATGGGTTTTTTCTCTAAGGCTTTGCTCTATCACTGTGGATGGTTGGCTAGAATGGGTACCAGGTCTTCAAGAATAGGCCAAAATCACACCAAGCCCAGATTATGTGCCTATTTATCAATGGTGGTTATTTTTGAAGGTGTTTGTTTGGGGGATGGTCATCTGGAAGGGTCAGTGGAGCCCAGGCTAAGCCCTGTCAAAACCCTACGTGACAAATAGGCCAAAGTTTTTCTAGTTGCAAAATTGAAAGGATGCTATGTAATGGTGAAATTAGAAACATTCAAAAGCTCATGACAAGGAAGAAAATATTTCCTCTGTTTAAGGCTTTCAGAAAAACATGAAAATACACGTACCATGCTGTATCACACAGATAAGGTACATTAGAGCCAGCATCTGGCATGATATGTTATGTATGAAACGATAGGCCAATGTTTCCTGGGTTTTTGCTTTGGCTTTGATAGCTGTCTGTCTGAAGGTACATCAACCTTTCAAGGTAGATCAAAACAGTAACCCTGTTCTTTGAAGAACACTTGTTTTTCTTATTTTCAAAAAAATTAGCTTGCTTGCATCCAGAGTGGGGGAAAAATAGACATTCTTTCTTCTACTCAAAGAAGCAAATGACTTGGAAAACTTAGAAGAAAAACAGATATTTAATAAGGAAATACGTGTGTTCCTTCCTATTCCCCCTGAAAGGGGGAATGCCTCTTAAGACATGAAGAGGGACCAAAATAACACTTGCTGTATAACTTCACATACACAGTGGGAATCAAGTAGTAGTTGATCAAAATAGGGTTGTTCTCATCCCTTAGACTTGTATTCTGACAGGGAACATAAGGCACTTCAGGGGGAGGAATTGTAACTTCTGTAGTGAGAGGGCAATGCAATTAGGAGTTAGAGCAGTGTTTTCAAACTTGATTCACCGAGGTGTTTTAGAAATTGTGAATATCTTTCCATTGAATTTATGCTTGAAAATGTATCTTCAGTATTTTCAAAACTATAAAAATACATCATGATTTCTCACATTTGTTTAATGAAATTTTAACTCACTGTATTCCAAATTTTAACCAATGTGACTTCACTTTGAAAAGTGCCGTGAACTTCTCTCTTTGATGTATTGGTTGTTTTTTTTTTTTTTTCAGAGTCTCAAGCTATCACCCTGGGTAGTGTGCCATGGTGTCACAGCTCACAGCAACCTCAGACTCTTGGTCTTAAGCAATTCTTTTGCCTCAGCCTCCCAAGTAGGTGGGAGTACAGACACCTGCTACAATGCCCGGCTATTTTTGTCGTTGTTGTTGCAGTTGTCATTGTTGTTTTAGCAGGCCTGGGCTGGGTTTGAACCCACCAGCCTTGTTATATTTGGCCGGTGCCCTACCCACTGAGCTATGGGCACTGCCCAATGTATTGGGATTTCACCAGCGTTTTTCCTTTAAGGAGGGGAAGTGATTTACTACTTAATAGAAAAGGTCTGAATCTACTGTGTGTGCTTGGGGATATGTGTAGGACCAGTTTAGGGAATGAGAAACTTTTGCTTAGATCAGTGGTTCTCAACCTTCTTAATGCCACGACCCTTTAATACAGTTCTTAGAAGAAAAACTGTATTAAAGGACTGTATTACAGTTCTGTAATACAGAACTGTATTAAAGGGTCGTGGCATTAAGAAGGTTGAGAACCAGTGGCTTAGATGGTTGGGGCCTAGCTTTGGGAGAGGGGACTTTGTGAACCCTGAGGAGACTAGCGGACTAGCATGATATGACTTTGGAGCTACTTAGACTAGAACCTGAACTCGTTCAAGTTATGAGAGGTTGAGGCCACTTAGGAGCCCTGAGCATACCTTGTTATTGTGTTAGGGATTCTAATAGGTGACAGGTCTCCCTCTGATCTCTGGCAAGATGTCTGGAGGGATAGAACACTCCCAGAAGAGAAGCTGGGACATGAGTAGAAAAACAGAGAAAAGAGGTTCTTTTTTACTCTGTTCTACTTTAGTGAGGCTGACAGAATTTAGATTTTGAGGAGGAAAGTTCTCCTTGCCCTGCTTCCTAATAGGCATTCCCTGTGGCCAAGGGAGACAGGTCCAAGGCTTTCTTTTTCTGTTAATTACTATGATTCCCTTGCTTAAAACCTGTGGGATTGTTCTATATTTACAGCAACTCTGGGCAAGGTTTACTGTCCGCGGTTTTACTTTCCTCTGGAGTAAATTACCTTTCTCCCAATTCCCCAAACTAAAAAAACACACCTACCTTTTAAATAAGCCTCTGTTTTCCCAGGATAGTTTCTCAAGTTCTGTTCCTGCTCCTAACGTGAGATGGTTGTATTCTATTTAACATGCTTTTCTTTCTTTTGATGGTGTCTTAGGAAACGTGGTCCTAGAATTTGAGGTTCCTGGCTTCAGTACACTAAGAGGACTTGGCCTAGGATGTTTCTAAGGAGGATTTGAGATGCTTGTGAGATGGGATTGCAGAGCTGATTGAAGTAATTGTTGTGAGCTCTGAAATGTCCCGTCCTGCCACCTGCCAAAGTTCCCCAAATCATCACCATTAAAAGTCCCTTGAGGCCTTATTAATAGCAGCACCTGATGCTGGGGTGGGGTGAGAATACATTAATATGCTATCAGCTAGTGGCACATTGCTGACATTTTATCAGACTGAGTGGCTGTTATTTTGTAAGGAATAGAGTTTAGGGGAGTGAAAAGAACAGGAAGTCAGGTCCTGCTCACATTTTAATCAACCTCATTTTTTTTTTTTTTTTTTTGCAAGAGATTTTGTTCATTCTCGTTCTTCATGGAAAGAAATTTTTTTAGGGATAAGGTAAAGAGAGGTCTAAGTCTTGGGGTACCTGTGTGCAGGGAGGTTTCTCCTGGGAGGTTTATGCTGTAATGCCTCTGCAGAGAATCTTCTCTTAAGAATTTTGCTTCTTTTGCTGAAGAAGAAGAGGAAGTCTGGGCCCAGGATCCTGATTCATTTCAGTCTCTGTGATGACCTTTTCTCTCCTGGGCATGCCTGTAACTTTAGAATGAGACTCATGAAAACCACAGGCATCATACATGGAGGGCCTGGGTTACCGTTCTCCTGCCAAGGAAGAAACAGAGTGACTTGCGTGGGGCTGCACAGCTTGCACGAACTGTTATGCTGCCCTCTCAACAGTGGCACTTTGGGCTCTTGAGTTGCTGTTTTTATATTTTCCATATCATGACAGCAACTCAACCAAGGGCAGGTTTGGCTCAAGGATGCTAGGGGTTCATTTCTTCTTGATGGTGGAAGGTTGAGCATTTCAGAACCTGGAATTGGGTCTGCCCCAGACTGTGCACCTCATGGGAAGAGGATGGAATCATGTGTGGTAATGAGTGGGTGTGGGCGTGTGTGTGTGCATGCGTGTGTGTGTGTGTGTGTGTGGTTAGGGCAGGGAGAGGGGAAGCGAGCATATGCTATGCTGATGTGCCTCCGCCTCTGTGTTTCTGTATAAATACACATTTGTAACTACCATATTTCGCCCTCTCCCTGCCTCACTGTGGAAGTAGCAGTCAGTCTACGTATTTTCTAAGTTTGAGAAAAATACTTGGATCAAGAAAGCATGTAGCCTGTCAGCCAGCCTCTAAGGATCAGAGGGAAGGCGAGGCCATATCCCAGATCTGTGTCTGCTTCTCTACAGTTTCCCCAAACCATTTGAATAATCTTGAGTTTTTCTTGTATCTTTACCGTATTCCTCCTTTCTTTCTTATTCTCCTCTTTTGCTACAGCCTTTTCTACATCCAGATTGTTCCTTCCCTCAAAACACAACAGTGTTTGTTTGATCTATTTGCTGTGAGGTGAATATACAGTGGTGTTTTTTCCATCTCCCAAAGGATGAGGGTATGTGCGTGTAAACTTGCTGGAGAGTTGGGGCAGAGTCAAGGTGAAGTCCAAAGCCAGAGCAAGGTGGAGTGAGGGCTGGAGTGAAACTTGCTCCCCTGCACCAGCTGCTTCTGAGAGATAGAGACCAGAGGTGTGGCCCTAGAGATCTGGGCCAGCTAGTCTCTGGGCCAGGGATGGGAGCAAAGTTCTCAGGTGAACTTCAGAGCCAGAGTACATGCCAGAGATCTTGGATCTCTTTCTTCTGGCTCAGGAGTCTTGAGCACAAGGTCTGCCTGCTCAGGACCCTTGGTGGTTTTCTTGCCCCTGGATCTTACCTCATCTTGTCCCCACAAGTTCCTCAGGCTGTGTTTGTGGCGATTCCCCTGGCCGTTGCATAGTGGCAGACAGCGATGCCTGCCACTTTCCTGTATAGAGGGGAACTTCCCTTCTGAAGCCCCAGAATTCTCCTCTGGAGGTGGCTCAGCGGGTAACCCAGGCAGAAGGCTTCCCAAGCTGAGTTCCCCAGCATACAAGTGTAGGGGAACTTGAGAGGGGAGCTGAGAAATAATAACAGGAGTGCCACAAAAAAGTGTCCCATGGTCAAGTACTCTTGGGATCTAGGGCTAGCCTAGTTTTTGTTTTGTTTTAACCACAAGTCTTGTCAGAGATGTTAAGATGGAAATAGACATGGGCATGACCAAAACTCTTGGGTGTTTCTGAAATGTTGTTGATCACAAATCTTTTGCTTTCAAAGGACCAGTATTCTGAGAAATATATTTTGGAGGAATTGTGGGTATAAGGTCAATGTTTTGGATTCCAGTAGATGTTTATTAACACCCAGAAATGGTTGTGGTCTTTTTCGGTGAGCTGGGCTGGACCTCTGAAGCAAGGAAAGAGTGTGAGTGTTGGTCACAAGGATCTTCTGGGCATATTTGGAAAAATGGACAAGAGGCATGTGTAGGCCAGGAAGATCAGGTGGCAGGCAGCTGGGCCACCTGGTCAGGAGAGGAGCTGGGAAGGAGCCTGGTAAGGCATCTGAGATGTCATAGCAGCGTTAGGGACAAAGCTGAATTCTCTTGGAACCAGAACTTTCTGCTTCTAAAAATGCTGATTTTTTTGATACTTAGGAAAGTTCATTTTGAGTTAAAGGGACCCAAGGGTGTCCCCTCTTTTGTCCCCTCCTGAGCTAAAGGTAATTGACTTAATGAGAAAAAAAATCCCAAAGAGCAGTAGGGGTGGCCGGGCCCATGGTTCAGCTGTCCTCTTGCACCTGAAGCACCTTTCCTGTGCTCACCTGGGCTCCAGCCTTGGCTGCCCATGTTTTGGTTCAACCAGGAAGACTGTTCCCTCAGGGCCTCGTTGGCCACATCCTGCTTCCGCTGTCTGTCTGCCAGCAGCTCCTTTCTGTGTCACAGCTGCACAGCAGGGCTGGCCGTGGGTTGGTTTCCTCCCCCTTGGCAGGACTTAGAGAATCTCAGAACTTCAGAGCAGGAAAGGACTTTAATGATTATTTAGTCCATCTTCCCGTTTTATTGACAGGTAAGTAGAGGCCCAGAGATTCTGTCTTGTTCAAGGGCACCTGTGTACGTGGTAGCTGAGCCAGTTCCTTGACTCCCAGCCCTGTCCTGCTTCAGGGACCCCACTTTGCTGTCACTCAGGTCTTTGGGGGTATAAGAGGGAGCCACAAAGTCACTCCAAGTGTCTGTAATTGATGAACCTGAAGGAGAAGAAATCTTTATCTTTGACCTTCTAGCTTATCCCCAGAGTGCAAACTCAGGAAAACCTTTCTTGAGCAAAGAAGATTATTAACTCATGAAACACCTTATGTTTGTTATTTGGGGGATTCAGAGGGCAAAAGAGCTACAAATGTCCCCTTCCCCATACCCACCAACCAGTCAAGCTGTTGGTGCTTAGTTGTCAGGAGACACCTTGTCCTTAGGCATGGATGGTCTGGTCACGTTGATTCTATGGCACCCTTCTAGGCCTTTAGTATACTCAACTGGAGACACACATACACTCGCACTCTCCCGTCTCAAATCATTTGGGGGCATAAATATAAAGTCTGGAAATCAACCTGTTTTCTTTACTATAGATTTGCAACTTTTGCTTCTTTTGGAGACAAGCTGTTGGTTAACAATGGACTATGGAGTGATGAGTCGATGATCTAATGAGTACTATTTCTAATAAGTGTGTTTTCTTTCCTGAAAGGTGCAGATTCACTTTATAGGAATAGCTTCAGCTTCAGTGATGAAAAACTGAATTCTCCAACAGACTCTACCCCAGCTCTGCTTACTCCCACTGTCACTCCTAGGAAAGGTAAGTTCATTAGCCGGGGTGTGAGCTTTTTGTTTTGTTTCTCCTCTTCTCAATCCCTCTGTCTCCTTCTAACCAATCTTTCCCAAATATGCAGAACAGTGAGATAAGACTAATACCTTAGTACAATAGCGCGTGGGATGGAATTTGTAATTTCTCAGGATTTTGATCAGGGTGAAAACAAAATCAGATAGTGTAGGGCAGAAAAATCTGAATTCACAGGGAGAGAGGAGGAAACTTGCAGAGCCGATTCGCACTCCTGGGGTGTAATCAAGACTCTAAATGACAGTGCTTCTTAGGAGCCTCCTCCCAGACTGGTTGGTTCTAGAATTTAAAACTCAGCAGTTCACCCTGGCAGAAAGTAGGATTATTTTTATTGCATTAAGTATTAACCAATGCTTTCAGATGACCAATTTAGCAATTAAATGGGGTCGTCATTATGAGACAAGTGATGATCTAACATGATTCAAAATAGCAGCCCCAGCCTGTTTCTACTGTGGTATTAATAGACCAAAAAAGATTTTAAAGATGCATGAGCAGTTTCTTATTTTTTGGAGCTGGTTTCCAGCTAGAGAGCTGAATGTTCTCTTATACTGGACGAGTGCCCTTTTGAAAACAAAAGGAGTTTTTCTCCTTACGAAAAGTTATACTTGCTGAAAATAGTTGTAGAATGCAATAAAAATGGAACATAGTTAAAAAGAAATATGACGATTCCATCACTTTTCTCATTCTGGCAATAAGACAGAACTTCTCTCTTTTTCAAAAGAGACATTTTAAAATTCCCTTCTCAGCACAGCAACATTAGCAGCCACTAGGGATCCTGCCATTATCCAGCCCTCAGTCTGTAATGGATCTATTGAATTCAGAGACAGAGCAGCGTAGAAAGTGGCTCAAAACGTGCCCAGATTTGTTACCTGATCCTCAAGAGGTAGGAATTAAAGAGGGAAAAAAGCCCCTTGTGGCAAATTGATTTGAAAAGCTACGAACAATGAGCCGTTTGTAGCCAGCAGGGGTTAATTAATAAAACTATCCAGTAATGCACTTCAGGAAAGGCAGGAATGATGAACTCTACTGAAAAACGTTTAAGTTAGACAGAAAAAATCCCCATCTCCGTCCATAGAGAGAACAAAAATCGAGATGAGGGCTTATGTGTTACCTTGTGCTGGCACTGGGACAGGATGATGCTGTCCTGGGCCAGGAGCCTCACGTCGCCTTCCCTGTACCATTTTGCCAAGAAGCAGTTGATTTTCATTCATGTCATACTGGAGGGACTCAGGGCTGCAGTGTTGCCCTGGGGAGCAGTATAAGCAAGAAGATGTCAGAAGGCAGTGTGGTGGGAGTCACAGAACCTGGGGTCTGTTGCATGCAGTGATGTGCAAATCCGACAGTCAAAAATCACAACCCTTTGTCTTCTCTTCCTGCTACTCACTCTGCCCCCAACTTGTGAGACAATGAAGGTTCTTCTTCCAGGTTAGGGGGAGGTAGCGTGGTGGGAGAGGGAGGTGATGAGCTCAAAAGGCAAGAAACGTGGAGAATCTCGTCGCTAGAATTCATTTCTAAATTTACAGGAACTGACATTGAAAGCAGTCTCTGAGGATACAGAGGTAGATGTAAAAATGAAAATAATTCATTCTGTAGTTCTGGGAATTCCATAATCCTGGAAAACATGGGGTCCTCAACTGACTTTGACATAGAAACAGAACTCTCCCTCTCCTGTTTCACAGCCAAATTAGGAGACACGAAAGAGCTAGAAGACTTCATTGCTGATCTTGACAGAACATTAGCAAGTGAGTACATGCCTGGTATTTAAAAAAAAATCAAGCAGAACACTAAACAACCAACACCTCTGAAAAAGTGCTAGGCTGTTAACCAGCCTGCCTAGGGGCAGTTTCATCATAAAGCTTCTTTAGATTTAGAAACTGGACCCTGGTGGTTTGGAAAGAAATTCTGAGGGTAAGCTTGCCTTAAAGTAGACCATGTACCTTTCCAAACAGTGAGAACAGGTCACCAGCAAACAATGGTGTTTTGTTTGAAAAATAGAGAGTCAGCAAGATTGGAGTTTGATGGTGTACCAGACTTTGCAGAAAAGAATTGAGCTGATTAACCACATAAGCATTACTCCAGCAAGCCATTGGGTTCCACCTCATGGGCTGGGGTAATTTCCCCAGGTTAGATCCAGGCCCTGGGTGAGGTCTGACCTCTAAGAGAGAATTAGCTTGGAGAAACATTGTAACCAAGGACCCAGGCCAATTACTAAATGACCTGGATTAAGTGTGTAATACTCACTTCCCATTTGGGAATTACATTAATAGTAACCCATTTTGTGTGACCAAAAATGTTGGGAACTGAAGACATCAGACTATAACTACGAAGTGGGGGTTCTAGAGGAGGGGCCCTTTGCAATCTGTATACACACTTTATTTCAAAAAGACGGGATTGCAAGAACCGAAGGCTACCTGGAGCTACTGGGATGACGGGAGTCTCAGCTTTACTCTTATTCAGCCACACAGTGAGTCGGGAGAATTTGATACCAGCTCTTTAATTTTTCGGTGAAAGGGCTGATTTTCTATAAGAAGTGTTTTATGCTGTACTTTGCTAAAGAGCCAGGTACACTTGAAAGAATTTGATCCAAAGCTGGATTTAAAAATAACTCTGCTCTTAACACTCTCATATTACCTCTACTTACTTGAAGGTTTTATTGCACATGAAGGTGACATGCTGCACCATCCTACATCAGAAGACCAAGGCCTGTTTTAACAGAGACGATTATAATAGCAGCTCATTTTGTATTAGCCTATGTAACAAGCCTGTGTACTTTATGGAAATTGCAGCAGGCTGCCCTGTCATCCCAGTTCGTCAGTCACACATTACTTGGGAAGTTTGGCATTAAGTGTGGCTTTGATGCGTGTCTGAGATGGCGCAATGTGGTTAAGCATAGGATATAACCTTACCTGTCTTCCATTTACAGGTATGTGAAACCAGGAGTTCTGGGTCCTTTTAACGTAACGGAGATGCTTCCGAGAGCCCCAAGGACACGTAAAATCAGCTAGGAGGATTTGCTGCCAGAGGGGACAGAGATGTGTGCTCACCTCCCACCAGGCCATTCTCAGGCTCACCTTAAGATCAGCCCTTGTGCCTGTATCTGGACAATTTAGACAGTGAAACTGACCTTGTTTACCTGCTTGCAGCATGTTAGAACAGATGATCCATTGCTAATATTGTATTTTCTCTTTAAACACAGCTTTCCTATAATTTAAAGTGCTTTTATGAAAATATTTGTAAGTAATTATATATAGTTGGAAATAGTAATATGCTTTTCCCATTATAATATATTTTTGTATACAAATAAAATTTGAACTGGAGTCTGTATTTTATAAGCTTTCTTTTCTTTTTCTTTATGTCTTCCAATACATTTCCATTCCATGACACTCGAGTGGCAATAATAGGACTGTGGATTTCTTAGCAAGGACCCTGGGTGCTGCTGGATTGCAGAAGACAGGAGAATGGTAAACTTAAGCAAGGGCTCCATTGAGCTTGTTCAGGGCTCCAGTGGGAAATGATGGCTGGTGGCTACTAGGAAACTTTAATTTAAGGATAAGTAGGCTTCTCTTCTGTCACTACCCTCCTATGCAGATCTTGGCACCTTTGTAGGTGGCATGAACTCTTTCTTTGAATTTGGGGAAATAACAATTGTAGTTAAAATTTAGGACTTTTGAAAAATTTCAGATTAATATGAGGGTACAAACAATTAGGTAACAATGTTTGCATTTGTTAGGAAGAGTCCCTGTTGTAGTTGTGTTCCACACTCAGGAGTATGACACATATCCTTCCTTACCTTGTGACCATTAAGTGGGAGTACACCAGTCCTCCCCCTGCCCCCATCTTGAACTGAGTTGTTTTTCTCTTGTGTGGGTGTGTATTAGATCACCTACTGACTTCATGTTAGTATTGAGTACATTGATTTCTTGTTTTTCCATTCCCTTTTGTTGTTGTTGTTCTTCAAGATACTTTACTAAGAAGAATATGTTTCAACTCCATCCAGGTTAGTACAAAAGATGTAAAGTCTCCATATTTGTATGGCTGAATAGTATTCCATGGTATATACCACAGTTGTTAATCCATTCCTGGGTTGATGGGTATTTAGGTTGTTTCCACATTTTGGCGATTGTATATTGAGCTGGATAAACAATCTAGTGCAAATGTCCTTATTCTAAAATGATTTTTTTCTTCTGGGTAGATCAATCTAGGACTTAAATATAAGGGGAGGTTGGAGCATTTGGAAAACATAAAAATTTAGTGCTTTTCTAAGATCTGTGAGCTGAGGAAGACTGGATAGTGTTGGTCTTGATGGAATGTTCAGGTCAGGGTCAAGGCTTTCTGCAGGTGTGCTCTGCACATAGGAGCAGTTACACCTCCCCCCACTTGCCTTCGTGGGGGCCGAGAAGAGGCACAAAAACAGAGCAGGTCATAATTTTCTTCTCTATGCTGTTCTATTCTTGAAACCTCCTCTAAAATAAGCAGGCATTACTTCCTAAGAAAATAAAATTATATGAAAGCTCCAAACCCTGTGTTCCTAAAAGACATATATTGAAAACGTAACTACTTAGAAACTTATGTCTTCAAAAGTTAACTACTATATCTGATCTATTTTTTTAGGGAACTGGGAAACTAAATTGCATTTTTCTTTAACATTTTTCTTTCCCCAAAGCTTTTGGGTTAAACCCAAATATTTCCTTTGTTTCTTTTTTGAAAAATTGGGATCTAATTCACATACTGTAACATTCTATTCAGTGGTTTTTCATATATTCACAGATACTGCAACAATCACCACTATCTAATTCTCCCTCTCCATGGATTTGTCTATTTGAGATCTTTCATATAAATTAAATCATACAGTATGTAATCTTTTGTGCCTAGCTTCTTTCACTTATAGTATTTTCAAGGTTAATCCATGTTGTAATATGAATCAATACTTCATTTCTTATGGGCAAATAATACTCCACTGTGTGGATATACCACATTTTGTTTAACCATTCATGGATTGAGGGACATTTTTGTTGTTTTTACTTTGTGGCTAATGAATAATTCTGTAATGAACATTCATATACAAGTTTTGGGTGGATGTGTGTTTTCACTTCCCTTGGGTATGTAACTAGGAGTGGAATTCCTAAGTCATATGTTAACTCTGTTTAACCTTCTGAGGAACTGCCAAGCTGCTTTCCCAAGCAGCTACCCCATTACACCTTCCTATCAGTGATGTTTGAAGGTTCTAGGTTCTCAGCATCCTTGCCAACACTTGTCATTGTCTGTCTTTTGAATATAGCCACCCTAGTGGGTCTGAAGTGGTATCTCAAGATGGTTTTGTTTTGCAGTCCCCTTATAACTAACAATGTTTCTTCATGTGCTTATTGGCTATTTGTATAACTTCTTTGGAGAAGTGTCTATTCAGATCCTTTGCCCATTTTAAAATTAGGTTGGCATTTTAATGTTGAGTTGTAGAAGTTTCTTTCTTTCTTTTTTTTTTTGAGACAGAGTCTCACTATGTCACCCTTGGTAGAGTGCTGGGCTTCACAGCTCACAGCAACCTCAAATTCGTAGGCTTAAGCGATTCTCTTGCCTCAGCCTCCCAAGTAGCTGGGACTACAGGCACCTGCCACAATGCCCAGCTATTTTTTGGTTGTAGTTGTCATTGTTGTTTAGCAGGCCTGGGCTGGGTTCTACCCACCAGCCCCATTCTATGTGGCCAGCTGAGCTATAGGCATCGAGCTGAGTTGTAGGAGTTTTTGATGTATTCTGGAAACAACTTCCTTATCAGTTATATAATTTGCAAGTATTTTTTTCCCTCTTAGTTTTTTTTTTTTTTTTTTGGCTGTCTTTTCACCTTTTTGTCCTTTGAAACATAAAAATTTAAAATTTCAATGAAGCTTGGGTACAGTGGCTCATGCCTGTAATCCTAGCCCTCTGGAAGGCCAAGGCCAGAGGATTGCTTGAGGCTAGGAGTTGAAGATCAGCCTGAGCAAAAGCAAGCACCCTTCTCTACAAAAATTACAAAATATTAGTTGGGCTATGTAGTAGATGCCTGTAATTCCAACTACTTGGGAGGCTGAGGCAGGAGAATTCAATTTCTTGAGCCCAGGAATTTGAGGTGAGCTATGATGACATCCTGTACTCTAGCTCAGGTGATAGAGTGAAACCATGTCTCAAAATACATTTTTTAATGAAGTCCAATTTTTTTTGTTGTTGTTCCTTGTCCTTTTGGTGAAACCATTCTCTAATCCAAAAATCACAAAAAGTTACCCCTATGTTTTGAAGTTTCATAGGTTTAGCTTTTACAGTTAGGTCTTTGATGTACTTTGTGTTATTTTTTGTCTATAGTTTGAGAGAGGAGTCCAACTTGATTCTTTTGCATATCAATATCCAGTTGTCATAGTACTACTTGTTAAAAAGTCTAATTTTTCACCATTGAATTGTATTGGTACCCTTGTTGAAAATCAATTAACCATAAACATATGAGCTTGTTAATAGCTTCTCAATTCTATTTCATTGATTTATGTATTTCCTTATTCCAATACCACAGTCTTGGTAAGCTATTCCATAGCTTGGTAATAAGTTTGAAATTGGAAAGTTTGAGTCTTTCAACTTTGTTCTTTTGCACGATTATTTTGGCTGTTCTGCATATATTTGAATTTCCATATAAATTTTAATGTCACCTTGTTAATTTTTGAAAAAAGTACAGATAGGATTTTTACAGGGATTATGTTGAATTTATAGATCAGTATTGGGAACATGGGAATATTGCCATCTTAACATTAATTTAGGCCTTTAATTTATTTCACCTGTGTTTTGTAGTTTGTTTGTTCATTTGTTTGTTTGTTTGTTTTGAGACAAGATTTTGCTCTGGCATTCAAGCTGGAGTGCAATGGCGTGACCATAGCTTACTATAACCTTGAACTCCTGGGCTCAAGTGATCCTCCCACCTCAGCCTTTGAAGTAGTAGGACTATGAACATGTACCACCAGGCCTGGTTAATTCTTTTTTTTTTCTTGTAGAGACAGGGTCTTGCTGTGTTGTCCAGACCGGTCTGGAACTCCTGGCCTCAAGTGATCTTTTTCCGTTAATCTCCCAAAGAGCTGAGATTACAGGCATAAACCATAGCGCCTGTCCTTGTTTTGTAATTTTCACAGTATAATTTTTGCACATGTTTTGTTAAATTTAATCCCTAAGTATTTTATTCTTTTTGATGCTATTGCAAGTGGAACTGTTTTCTTAACTTGCAGAAATGCAAGAAATTTTTGTACATTAGTCTTGTATCCTGTAACCTGACTGTAGTTGTTTATCATTTCTAATAGTTTTTTCTCTGGGTGTGTGGGTTCTGTATACAACATCTTATTATTTGCAAATAGAAATAGTTTTACTTCTTCCTTTATAATGTGACTGCCTTTTATTTCTTTCTCCTGCCCTTTTGCCCTGGTTAGAACTTCCAGTACCGTGTTGGAAATAAGTGGCAAGAGAGAGCACATCTTCATCCTATTCCTGATCTTAAAGAAAACACTTTCAGACTTTTGCCATTGAGTATGATGTTAGTTGTGGGACTATTTTCTTTTTCAGTCAAATGAGCCCTTAACTTCTTTTCTAAACTTGACTTTTCCATTACCTGGGTCTGGTTCTTTTTCATGCTTGGAAGCCTTTATCTGCCTTGAATAAATCTTTGTTTCTCATGAGGAAACCAGTGCTGTTAATTCTCACTGTAACTTTGTAATTAGCCTCTTTTGCAGTTGAGGATCCAATTGCATTTGACACCTCTTTGTTTGTGAGCTCTTGGGATCTGGACTCCTCAAGTCAGAAGTGTTGGGTGTGAAGCTTTGTGTCATGTTGTAAGGATAAGGTCAGTTTTTGAGAAAAAGAAATGGATTCTGTTAGATAACTCTGCATCTGGGGGGAGAGTTTGTGCTCTCCTTTCTTGTATAATGACCTGGGACCAGTAAGTCACAGATTGGGGTTCTGGGAATGTTGAATAAAGTATTTTCAGAGTTTCCTAAGATGTATTTCAAGAAGCACAGTCCTAACTTGTTTTGAAAAGTCAACATTAGTGCCATATATGCTTGAAAAATGCTACATACTCCACGTAGAGTTTTATTATGTACATTAGTGTATTAATTACTTAGGGGACACTCTAGGTTACTGGGCCAGAGATCCAAAATAGAGTGACAAAACAAGATGCAAATCCCTTTCCAATAGTCCAGGGATGAGTAGTACAGGGCCAGGATGCTGGGGGTCTAGCCCAAAGTGGCTGCTGCTGCTCTTGTCCTCACATTTCCTTTCCAGTCAGCAGAAAGGAGAAATGGCAAGTCAAGCACTTAGTAAGTC